CTCTCTCTCTCTCTCTCTCTCTCTCTCTCTCTCTCTCTCTCTCTCTCTCTCTCTGCTTCCTTCTCGCATTGGCAGGTGTCGTTTTGAACTTCTCGTCCCCTGTACCGGTGACGTCAACAGGACGAGCAATCGCCTGCTGTTGACGCCTCCGCCAGCGGAAGAGAACTTAGATTCTGCCATCTCTGCGAGACCCTAGCCCAGAGAGAAAGAGGCGACGTTGAGCTGTTGTATGGAGACTGCGTTGGTTTGGACGACTGAGAGCGCGGGGTCTGGCCCGTGTTCTTCCCTCACCTCTGATCGTCCCAGCGCGCTACCGGCCTTCCCCATCGCAGATGACAACAACGTCTACTGCGATGCGGATAATATAAGGGGAGATGGGTTTGTCGTGATAGATCGATTTGCCTCCCCGACCCTGATATTGCCCTACACCAACTTGACGGTGCTACCCTGGTCGGCAGCCCACGCCACGTGGCAGCCGCGGTTCAATTGCCGCTGGTGTCGCCAGGGAGACTCTTGCTCCTGGCGACGGCTGGTCCTTGGGTACGAGGGAGTTGCGTGTTTTCCCGAGCTCTCCCGTGGTGAGGGTGCGCGACCAGTGCAGTTTCGAACTTGGGTGCCGGCGGGCCATCCCGCTGTATCGCCTCCTGCGCAGGAGGGTCCTCGCAGGCTCGACGAGTCTGAAGCGGAGGCCTGAAGGCCTCGAACCAACTACCTCTACGACTAACCCATCGCAGCGTAATGAGGAACAGAGGCCTCCGCCCTCCGCTGCCCTGGCCTATTTCCCCTAGTGCTTTTTCTTGTTTTGATTCACTACGGCCATCCCGGTTTGCGGGACTCCCTTTATCCCGCGAGGAGGCGTATCTTTCCCCTCGAACGTCAGCGGCAACGGTTCAATTCCTTGGCAACCTCTGGCCCGAAACCAAGAGATCCCCGTTTCAATCAGGTGACTTCATCCCTACGACCAAAAATCCTCGGTCACACTCCCAATAACTCTGATCGGCGCGAAAGGGCACGCTACGCCGCGCGGGGTGTGAGGTTGGTATCAGAGTTGATTCGTTTGGGCTCCGAGGTCCCTCGGAAATACTGAACGCAATTTTTGTTAATTTAGGAATTTTGAATAGGTTGGCGCCCAGGCGGTCCCTCGGGTGCGTCTCCAGCGGGTGCTATAATCGGCCAAGGCCCCATCCATTTCGGAAGGAGCTTGCGAGAGATGTCTTGTTCAAGGCTGAATTTCGTTGTGGAAACCCAAACGAGGTCGCTGGCTCAGAATGGACAAGGAAGACGCTGGCGATTGGCCTGCTGGCTCCTGCGCTGCTGTGTCTTAGCCATCTGGTCGCGTGCTTTGACAAGAAGCTCTTGCATCCGACGTAAGAAGAGAAGATGGTCGTCGCTTTCGGCCACTCGTGAAATGATGGTGTCCAACGGGGAAGTGACCGGCGAGCCGTGCTCGAATTCGAAGGGCAACATCCCAATAGTCGGGTGGATGGAGGAGTTGTAGGTCAACTCGACATCCGGCAAACGCTCAACCCAATCCCTTTGGTCCGGGCGGATGAGAGTACGAAGGAGAGCCTGTGCGGTCTGGTGCGCCCTCTCTATTTGGCCATCGGTCTGGGGGTGGCCAGCGGAACTGGGCTTAAGTGACGAGCCCCATCGCTTGATGAGCGCCAACCAAAAATCAGACATGAGCCGAGTGTCGCGGTCGCAAACGATTTCCTAGAGGTAACCCTTGGTTCGAATCCAACCGGCGTAAAGAACCTTGCCCGACTCCAGTGCCTTGGCATGATAGCGGAAAGGCAAAAACATGGCGAACTTGGTGAGTCGGTCGACCACAGTGACTGTGAGAATCCCATCCACTTCGGTCTTGTGCTTGGGGAACGGGCCGGTAATGTCCATGGCAATCGCTTCCCTTCGGCACAGGGGGACCGGTACCGGTCGCAACTCGCCGTACGGACGATGATTGCGGGATTTGCAATGTCGGTAAACCTCGTATGACTCACAATAGCGTGTGGTGTCGTCGAGAAGATCGGGCCACCAAAAGCGCTCGCGGAGTCGGCCAATCGTACGATTGACTCCAAAGTGTCCGGTGGCGGGAGCGTCGTGGAACTCGCCAAGAAGCCGTGTGCGCAAGTGTAAATCTCGTGGCACAGAAAGAAGATCCTTTCCTCGCGAGTGAACGAGCAAGTACCCCTCCTGGATCCGATAGTGCAATGACGCCGGATTAGGAGAGGAGCAATTTGCGTACTTGTCGTAAAACTCGGGGTCGACTTGGTAGCCACGGATGAAGCTGTCCCGCAAGTCGTCGTCAATCTCGAAGGTCGAGTAGACTGCGGTACAGTGTTCCGGATGCCGTGAAAGAGCATCCGCAAAACGGTTTGACTTGCTCGGGATGTGGTCGGGGAAAAAGTCAAACTGGTCGATGAAGGTCATCCAACAGGCAATGGTGCTATTGACCATGTCTTGGGTCTTGTAGAAGACCAATGGATTGTTATCCGTTACCCATCGGAAATGCTGTCGACCAAGAAGAAAATGTCGCCAGCGCTTGAGCGCGTGTACGAAGGTCAATAACTCCTTCTTCCGTGCATCGTCAATCGAGTGCACAACGGGTACTTTCTTGCTAAAGTACTCGATCGGGTGCCAGTCCACACCGTCATGTTGCTCGCAGACAGCACCAATGCCATAGCCGGACGCATCGGTAGTGACGCGTGTAGGCAAAAGCGGATCGTAGATGCGCAACACCTCCGCGGATAGCAATGCGGCTTTGAGAGCCAAAAGTGAAGTCCGCGCATGGTCGTCGAAGTCGAATGGCCGGTCCTCACATTGAAGCTTGGATAAAGGAGCCGTGATCTTCGAAAATCCCTTGATGAAGCGTTGATAGTAGCTAGCCAAGCCAAGGAAGGAGCGGACGTTTTTGACGGTCTTCGGCTCCGACCACTCTTGGATGGATTGAATCTTGTTCGACAACGGACTGATGCCCTCTGATGTGACAAAATGGCCCAAGTATTCCAGCTCTTGCGAGACAAATTTGCACTTGTCGCGGTTGGCTTTGTACTTGACGCGGCAGAATGTCTCCAATACTCGTCGAAGGTGCTCAAGATGATCCTCCAATGTTCGGCTATAGACGAGGATGTCGTCTAAGTGGACTAGTACAAACCGGTCCAGCATCGCACGGAACGCGTTGGTCATTGCCGTTTGAAAGGTCGTCGGGGCATTGGTGAGACCAAACGGCATAACGATCCACTCAATGTGTCCGTACCACGTCTTGAACGCGGATTTGTAGCGATCTTGCGGGCGTATCGAGATTTGATGGTAGCCCGACTTCAAGTCCAATTTTGAAAAAAAAATTGCCCCGCCCAAACGCTCGAGAAGGTCGTCAATTCGCGGAAGGGGTCCCGCATTCTTGACGGTTTGTGCGTTGAGCTTGTGGTAGTCGATGCACAAGCGGAGATCCTTGTTCTTCTTCCGTACGAAGAGAACTCGCGCACCATATGGTGAGCTGCTAGGGCGGATCCAGCCCTTGTCCAAAAGATCGTCGAGTTGAGCGTGAAGAACCTCGAGCTCTTCCTCGCTCATGCGATAGATGCATCCTTTCGGTGGCACAACACCGGCCTCGAGAATGATCTCGTGGGAGATCGGCCGATCCGGCACCACAACGGTAGGAGACTTGAAGATGTCAGTGAATCCGTCGAGCAGCCGCACCACTTGGGGGTCCGAAGACAAGTCCGTTGGTGAAGATTCGGTCATCGCGGCGGCTCATAGAAAACATAGGCCGATCTTGTCGGTCCGCTCGTAAGCGCAAATGGCCTGAAAAGACTTGGCCGTTACAACTTCGCACCGGATCGAGGAGTGCAGAAGAGGAATGATACACACCACCTCGGCGCCGAAGGCGTCGCGAATGGTAAGTGTCCAATAATGGAAGTTAATTGTGTGATCCGCACTTGCAAGCCAAGGCATGCCCATAATGATGTCTAAGTCCGTGTCCAAGACGTCAAACGTCACCGGTTCGCATGCATGAGGTGCGAAATAAACCGGCACGACTTCAATGTAGCGATCGAGGATTTGTTGYGTCCGAMCGTCCGCCAACTTGATCGYCGTYRGGTYTGGCTTCTGTCRAACTTKAGSGYCAAGGACRGSCCTTTGGATGAAGGAATGGCTGATGAAATWGCRAGTCGYGCGGCTATCCAGCAAAGCGYTGAAGGACGCTTGCCCAACTTGGATGCGGACATAGAGGAGGGGTGCGTTGTTATCATTGTACCGCTGTATGCGAAACTCGCGGGCCACCTTGGTAACATACGCAAGGATGTCCCCCACCGCAGCTTCGTCATCCGTCGGCGAAGATGGTGGAGCATAGAAGGCTAAGTATGTGTGGAGATGGGCGCATAGTGTTGCGCATTGCGGTCCCGGCAAGCAGCTTGTGGAAGGGAGAGGAGGTCATGCAAAATCCTCGGACGTCAATGTGTCCAAGACCTCTATGTTGAACTCGTGCGTCGAATCCCTTGAAGAACCACTTGAAGACGATCGATTGTTGTTGTTGCCGGACGGAGAAGAAGTCGCACACACATCTTGTCCTTGAGCTTGAGAACCCAGCGAAGGAACGAGCCGGGCAGCATAGTCCTCATAAGAATACAAGAGAGGACTGTCGACTCCCGCATGTGCCTCAGAATGAAGAGAAGTCGCTCGCGAAGCAACCGATTCTGAAGGCATCGAGAGTGCAATCACATCACTCTCGACGGTGCTCACTTTCCCGAAGGGGATTTGGCTTGGACTGGTGTGCGGCACGTTGCGGTGTCATGCACCGCGCTGTTGCACAACAAGCAATATCGGTACTTAGAACGGACGCGGTACACGCCTTCCGTGATGCCGTAATGTGTCCAAGGCTCTTGAGCCGCTGGTCCGGCCCCGGGGGCTGAAGTGGTGTGTGTCTTCGGTTTGCCGCATCCTTGCCCTCTGGCGGGGCGGGCACCATCCCAGGTGGCTGCCAATCTGTCTCCTTCCTCAGAAGAGGCARCCTTGTTTGAAATGTTGGTCGTTGTAGTTGCTGCGACCACGGCCACTCTTGGCCAATGTTGTCCTTTGCCCTGGCCTGCTGCAGACGAATGGCCCAAGTTCTTCGCCTCGATGTTCATCAGGATGATCTACGAGGCTTTGTCAAAAAGTTGCTCACTTGTGGTGAGCGTCTCCGTAACTTGCGTCAAGGCGTTCTGCAACGCCGGGCAGCTTCTCCGGATGAAGAATTGCTTGATAGCGAAGAATGTCGACGACAAGTTAGACGTGGATGCCAAGCGTTGGTACTCGGTGATCCAGTCCATGCGTGGCAGGTCCTTCTGATAGAACCGTTGAAGTTTCTCGGCCGCCTGAAGCTCGGGCGGCTCAACTTGGAACCGCTTATGCCATGGTGCCTTGAGATCAGCCCTATGAAACCCCCTGGGCGGCGGACAGGCGCGGCCAAGTCCTCGGCCGCGGCCGAGTCCATGACCCCTCGGACGCGCGGCTTCGCGGACTCGTGGCGGCCGCTGGGGAGGGAGGTTGAGGAAACGGGAAGCGCCACGTGGCGGCGCAACCCCAGCCCCACCCCATCAAGCAAAAAAAAACGAAAAAAATCAAAGTTTTGGTTGAGGGCGAAATCGAAGAAAATAGAAAAAAAAACGCGTTTTTTTTTTTTTT